CCCCCAAACACACTCAATATGGTCACAGATGGCCGGCATGGCCATACTGCCTGCTCACAGACATGCCCATTAATGCATTGCCCCCCTCCCCAAACAAATTGCATCAGACACTTAGAGAGAAGCGTATCAGATGCAAACAAAGCGAAATTCAAGCCCTGTGTGTACTTTGCTTTACTTGGGTCGGCGTAGGCCTTCCTAAGCAATGCGGTGACCAGTTACTACCTTAGGGTACTACATTCTTTACGGCTGTGATAGACACGTTTTCCCACTGAGGGGCCTATTGTTGGTCTTGTCAGTGACGTCAACCTCTTCTCTCTCTCTCTCTCTCTCTCGCTCTGTGGAGGGTGTCACTGACGTTACCTTCTTCCCCTGAATACAACGGACGGTAATTATAGCTGTATTTGGGGTATCTTTCGGCCTAAATACAGCTGTAATGACCATACGTTGTATTCGGGGGAAGAAGGTAGGCGGGGTGGTGAGTCTGAAAACTTGCATCCTGGACGGATTGTCGAGCTGCAGCCAGCTTCCCTGATGCCTCCTCAGTGAGAATTGAACGTGTGTGGCTTTCTTAGTTCGCCTTTTTCTGTGGAAGTTGTCTCCAAGGAACGTGAGCACACACTGGTGCCAAAGAAAAGAACAAGAAAACGTTCAGAAAGAAAGAATCGCTGTACCCTTTGATGAACCCAGTGCACCACTGGCAGTGGCACACATGGGAGTCTATCAATAGCAGTGCCAACGTTGCTTCAGCCTCCTGATGTCAATACCTGTTCTCGGGCGTTTGGCTATTATCAAGTGCAGCAGTATATGTTCTGTTCACTTTAATATCTAGAAAAACACAGGCCGCTAATGTCATGCCAACTCTTGCTGATGTCATGCCACAACGTGGCAACAGCCTCTTGGCCACGTGGGCAACGTGGCAATAGCCTGTTGGCCACGTGGGCAACGTGTCAACAGCCCCTTGGCCACATGGGAACAGCCTCTTGGCCACATGGGAACAGCCTCTTGCCCATGTGGGCAACGTGGCAACAGGCTCTTGGCCACGTGGCAACAGACTCTTGGCCACGTGGCAACAGGCTCTTGGCCACGTGGCAACAAGTTGCTTATGTAATGCCAGAACACAGTGGACGACTTGCAAGCAGAAGTTGGTTATGTAATGCCACGTGGCAATAGTAAGTGTCCATGGCCAGCTGCACAGTGGACGATTTGCAGGCAGAAGACCTCTGCACCCAATTTCTGCACGTCATCGTTATGTGCGGAGGCCATGCGACCGTCTTCCCCCTTAATAGAATGCAATGGTCAGTGTCCTTCGGGACATCGGTAAAATTGGAACAATACAGAGAAGGGTAATTAGCACGAGAGGCAACCTTTGCGGTGGGTTGTGTGCAGGTTCTTCTGGAAGGGAACGAGCCAAGGAGGGTGACCGCTGCATCTGGACTGAACGTTGCCTCAAATACAGCTTGCGGCGATTGCCCTCTCTGTAATGACTATGGTCAATGTCATTTGGGACATCAGTAAAATTGGAACGATACAGAGAAGGGTAATTAGTAATTAGCATGAGAGGCAACCTCTGCGGTGGTTTGTGTGCAGGTTCCTCTGGAAGGGAACGAGCCAAAGAGGGTGACGGCTGCATCTGGACTGAACGCTGCCTCAAATACAGCTTGTGGCAGTTGCCCTCTCTATTGACGACCCTCTATATAATGACTGCGTGTTGTATTTGGGGGAAGACGGTTGTCTCGTCCGCTGGATCTTTCAATTTTTGACACTGTGACTGCCATCTGGCCCCTAGCATAACGCATCTTCATAATGAATGTATACACCCCATCTTTCTGGTCCGGTACAGCCATAACAAGGGTGTGCTGTGTTCGGGGGACGACGGCTCCATTCAATCGATGACAGGTCCGACCACAGTTTTTTTTCCGTTGTGTGCAGCAGTTGGTTGATTTTTTTTAGCCGCAGTGTTTGTGGTGTGAACGCAACATCAGGTCTGTCCTCTGTTCCTCTGCCCCTTTTTGCGCTTCTGCCCTCAGTGTACAATGTACATTGTTTTTCCGTCTTCCTTCCTAAACCATGTTCTTGTCGAACATTTATGCAACACCTCAAATCTTTTAACTCACTTTATTAAAAAAAAAAAGGTAAAACAAGTGTCCTTTGGGGCATCCGTTAAAATTGGAAAGAAAAAAGAAAAGAAAAGGAGAAATGATACAGAGAAACAGAAGATTAGCATGGCCCTTGCAAAAGGATGACATGTGTAAATTGAGAATGGTGCCGGAAAAAAAAAAAGAAAAAAAAAAGGCCAAACAAGAAGCCTGTGCCCCTTTATCTTCTCGCTTCTGCCGTGGTATCCCTTGTTTTTTTCTCTATCTTTCTCCTACACCGTGTTCCTGCTGGACATTTACGCCACTCCACAAATCGTTTAATTCACTTTATTAGGAAAAAGGGGGGAAAACGTGGAAAGAAAAAGAAAGAAAAGAAAAGAAAAAGAATCGATATTGATTGTGCAGCACTCGAACTGCGTGTATACCATGTAGCTGCACAATCAATATCGATTCTTTTTCTTTTCTTTTTTTTTCTTTTCTTTAGAATGTATTTTGACGTACATTTATACCACGTACATTTATGCAACACCTCTAGTGTACTCGTGTCCATTAGAATGTGTTTTGATCCGGCCCGGCCTGGCCTGGCCTGGCCTGGCCTTGAACCCTAGCAGAGCCGAGCCTGACTGTAATAAGATAGATGTGAGGTGCGGCCCTTCTCCTGCGAGTGCCTTTTTGATTCAGCGCTCTGGCAGCCTGACGGCACCCCCTTTGTCCACGAAAATATGTTTGGACCTGCCCGGGCCTTTCGTCAAATCGCGGAGTCGGGCGGGCCTGTTCAACAGATAGGCACTGCCTTCCTTCTGTAGTCTTCCAGGTCCGGATGTGCCCTAGCGGGTCCCTCCTGTCTTGGTCTGACAGAGCCTTTACTCCCTTCTGACACGGGCTCAGGGCCCACTGATCCTCTGCTGCCTGCTGAGAGGCTTACCATCAGGCCTTAGAGACCACAAAAAAGGCGCCTAAAAGAGAGAAGCGGAAATGGGAGAGAGCCCACGAAGGCCTCTAGCGAGCCTGTGGTTGGAAAGAATACCAAAAGATCTGTGGTGTGCAAAAGTTTCTTTGAAGGTCTGATGATAAGTATGTTGTGTAACGTCTGGTTTGCCGTCATGTGTGTGGTGCGTCAGTGTGACCTGTCTGTGTGACCTGTCTGTGTGACCTGCCTATGTGACCTGAACTTGTGGGTAACCTCTGTGCCTGGCCCGCTGTGATGGGGTTGCAGGGCTTCTGAGACAGGTTGGATGTGAAATCGGCAAGGCTGGCCTGATTTGTTTGATCATTTTTCTCCTGATCCGGTGCGTCAACCAGCGTCCATCCGAGCACTGTCTTGACATATTGCAGATAAATTGCTACCTTTTAAGTTCTCTCTGCTGCTTGGGGATTCCTGCGAGGACAAAGTGGAACAACATGATTGAAGGCGGGTGTTGGAGACGCCTGACCAGGCGTGTTTGAACAACAGTGGAGTTGAGTGAGCGAAGTATCTGGCTGTGCTCTCCTCTGCTGTTTTTTTCATTCTCTCATAGTCTCTGAGAGAGAGAGAGAGAGAGAGAGAGAGAGAGAGAGAGAGAGAGAGAGAGAGAGAGAGAGAGAGAGAGAGAGAGAGAGAGAGGAGAAAGTAAGGAGCCATGTCGTGGCTTCCAGTGAATTTTGGGAAGCTGAGCGACTTGAGTGACATTGCCGACTCGTTCAACAAACTCAGCGAGAGCGTTAAAAACATTGAATTAAATTTTGACACAGCGCTTGGATTCGAGAATGCGAACGCCACCGATGGCCAGAATAAACAAGGTGAGTGATCCTTCCTTCCCTCGACGATGTTGCAGAGATGGATTTATGCAGGACAGTGAAGACACCCCCCCCCCCGATGGGTCGGAATTTGTGATGTGAAATCTGTGGACAGCAATGATAGTCTGATGATGATGATGATGATGATGATGATGATGATGATGATGATGATGATGACCTGATGATGATGATGATGATGATGATGATGATGATGATGATGATGATGACACGTGCTAAGATCTTGTGCAAACTTGCTTCAATGATGACAGACATCAGATTTAATGGTCACGACTTTGAAGTCTTCAGTGCATAAATCACAACTCTTTTTCCCAAACTCCAATCATGAGCAAGACACTAACATTTTTCAGATGACGATGAAGAAGAAGAATGTACAGACCCGAGTTTGAATCCAGATGCAACCAAATAAAGTAAGAACCTAGCTCAGTTGGTACACACATGAACTGCCGAAGTACAGACCCGAGTTTGAATCCAGATGCAACCAAATGTACAGAATAAATCAAGTTCTGAATTGCCTGGGGCAGGTCAGCTCAATCATGGATGTTGATATCTCAAGGCCGTCACACTTTTTTCAGAACGAAAGAAGGGAAGTGATTCACAAGATATCATTTTTTCAGATGAAGATGAAGATGAAGAAGCAAGAAAATTTTTGAAGCAGAAGCAATATTTTAAGTTGCTCAAGGAAGGAACACTCCAATTGCTAATCTCATCACCTTCCCGTCTACTTCTTGACGCCCGCTTCCCACTGAATTCTACTTTTTTTTCTTTGTCTTTTTCCCCCCATCAAAAGTCTTCCGTTCAAGCATTTTTCAATGTTTTGACAAACTTTGAAAGTAGGTTCAATCGAAAATTCGCACACGCACCCGATGTGGCTGTTTGGTATACAACACCATGCACAAAATGATACCTTTTAATAACGAACAGATAGATGATCTCGAGTTCGAACTCTTGTCGAATCATATGATAAAATGCAATGGATACTATTGGATAGAACAATGCTAGAGGGCACACTGGGACACTGGGTACATTCTTTCTTTTCTTTTCGTTTCGTTTTCTGAAAAAAAAAACTTTTCAATTCACATGAACAGTAAGTTTTGTGGTGACTGATTGCAGAAAAAGCGAGTGAGAGAGAGAGAGAGAGAGAGAGAGAGAGAGAGAGAGAGAGAGAGAGAGAGAGAGAGAGAGAGGCCTTCACGCTACTTCCTCCCCTTCCTGCCAAACTCAATCTCCTCATCCAGTGATCATCAAAGAAAGAATCTGTGCAATACTTCACTGAAGAATTGGACCCCGAAAATCTTTCACAGGAGGTACCACCAAGAGCACATGATTTCGCCCTCTCTCTATTCTTGTCCATCGTACTCCTTCCCTCTCGTCCTGTGACAGAGGTCGAGCACCACCCAGCCCTCTTCGAAACTGTTCCGAGGAGGAGGACTGGTCTGATCCCCTACCATGGAGGGCCAGCTAACAAGGGAATGAAGAATTGTTGAAGGATGAGTGAAGATCGTTCTCCCGAGAACAACCTCAAGTGCTATAACTACAGCTGCGATGTCCTCTCAAAGTAGTGACTTTCGTTATTCCCCCAAACATAACATGCGTACATAATACATAGATGAGGCGTGTTTAGGACTGCAATTGCAGGCCAGACACAGAGTATTGGGCGGGGTGTTCGTGTGTGGAGGAAGATGGTGGTCGCAGTCCGAACTTCAAGAAGCGCAACGCGATGGGCAGGGAGGTGGTCTACCCCTCAGGCCTCCGGCTATCGGTCGCCAGTGGAGCTGCTGATGCCCGGCAGCATACTGGCTACATAATGAGAGGCTTCCAAGGGCGTACACACATACACACACCCTCGTCAACAGTCGTGCTTTTTTTGAGTGTGTAGCGAATATGACAACACACTCTCATCGTTGCATCTGACAGCAAGTACAACCAGATTCCACCGAGAAGAGGTGTCCTAGTGTGAGAATGCTTTAAGATGGCAGAAACTGCAAGCTTTCACTACTACCGTAGGCTTTTCCAGACTTTGGTGACCCGCATTCCTGCAGCTTGGCTGCTCTGTACATGGCAACTGATCAAACGGCGATGACAAAGTTTTCTTACGGAGTGTGTGAAATGTGTTTGTTGGATGATATTTTCCACCGTGTGGCCAACCCCCCCCCACCCCACAATGGTTTTTGGCAAAAACTCTTGCAGCAAAGACTGAAGATAATGATGCAGTTGCTGCGGCTTTCAAGGGGCTTTCTCGATTATCGGGAGTCGTAGGTCTCACTGCGAGCAGCAGCCAGGCCGCACCAACTGAAGAAGATGGAGAGAAGAAGGGAGGTGCCAAGCCATCCGTCGCAACCCGCGTGGCAGGCTCAGAGCCTTCACCTCTGACGAGTGAACAGGTCGGGAGTGACAGAGGGGAGATCAGACCGACTGCAGCGGATTCTTTGACGGTGGAGTCTGCTTCAACCTCTTCGCAGGGCAAAGACGGCGCCGACAGAGTAGATGGGGACACGGCTGCAAGGGGAGGAGAAGATGAAAGTGGCGATGCTTCAGAGTTGGCGAGGGGAAAAGTTGGTGAGGATACGGATCGCCGGGCTGAGGATAGTGAGGGGACGATGGAAGCGGAGGTATTGCCAAGCCCCACGGGCCGTGCTGTCGACGCGGCACACACACATCCTTCCGTGGCCAGTGCGGTCATTGCTGTTGCCGAGGGAGATGAAGGGAGTGCAGAGTCGGGAGACAGAGGACGAGCGGAACACCGAGGAAGTGAGGAAACTGGGGTGCCTGCTGAAAACGATCAGATCATCACTGAAAGCACACGTGACATTGCACTTGCGTCGAGCAAGATGGCCGCGGCGACAATAAGTGGGATAGATGGTGCTGCTGCTACTTCGCCAGAGTCACTGGCGGCGAAAGTGGTCGTGGATGGAGCGACTTCGCTTCCCAAAGCGCCCAGTGATCATTCACCCAAGACGACGAAAGGGACAGCGGATGTAATTGAGCCGGGAGACCCGGAGCTGGGAGATGGAGGGACTAAACAAAGCACAGGCACCAGGGATGAATCGATGCCACCCCCCTCACCTTTGGGCATGGCGGATGTGGACAAGGGACCAACGGCGCTTAGTTCACAGGAAAAGGAAGAACTGGTGACACTGAGAAAGGACATGGAAATGATGCAAACTGCTGTGCAGAGTGCTGCCAAGCAAGCGCAGGTAGGAGAGAGTGGATCAGGGCACTCTACGCGTGCTACTCAGCAATACAGTTTTTTTCCTTCTTTCTTTTTTTCCCTCTACGACGTCTACGCTCGTTAAAATGGCAAATGCAAAAGACACTGCCCTGTGCTTGTGGCCTTTCTTTCTTTGCTGAAGTTAGAGAGGTAATATCATGTGCTGTGTGCTTTGTCATTTGCATTTGCCATTTTGGGATGACACCCCAAAATGGCAAATGCAAAAGACAAAGCACCCTGCCTCTTGTGCTAGCTGCTACTTCCCCCCCACCTTTTGCATTTGCCATTTTGGGATGACACCCCAAAATGGCAAATGCAAAAGTCAAAGCACCCTGCCTGTTGTGCTAGCTGCTACTTCCCCCCCCTTCCCTCCCCCCCCCCTCTCCCCCTCCTTTTGCATTTGCCTGACACCCCAAAATGGCAAATGCAAAAGACAAAGTGCACAGCACATGATCCGCTTGCCTCTCGTGCTGCCTGCTACTTCCCCCCTCCCCCCCTCCCCCCCCCCCCCCCCCCCCCCCCCCCCCCCCCCCACTTTTGCATTTGCCATTTTGGGATGATACCCCAGAATGGCCAATGCAAAAGACAAAGCACCCTGCGCTGTGGTGCAGCTCGCTTGCCTGACATGTGCTAGCTGATGGCTGAAGGAATGTCTGCATCTGGTGTCTGGACCATGAGGAAACTGTGACGTCAGCGGAAGGGCACAGGTTTCAAGTCCGTTTGACATTTAGGCAGGCTTGTGCTTGCTTGCCCATTTGTGAAACTGATACAGATGAAAATAAGAGGTGCACAACTATATACGGATGGTAGGCTTTGTGCTTTTTTGTGTGTTCTTTTTTGGAAAAAGGGGGGGGGGGGGGGGGGGGGGGGGGGGGAAGGGCATGAGTGTATAGATTGGTGTGTGCATCTGCAGGAAAAGACTGACGATTCTTCAGCATGCGTCCATTGCAGACAAAGGCTGATGAGCTGTCGAGGATCATGTTTCTGAATGATCAACTCCGCGGAGAGCTTTCTGAGCTGAAGGTGAGTGAGTTAACAACAGAGAACTTATGTGGCGACGTTCAGGTGACACTCCCCACTTTCCTCCTCTCTCTCCACTGCTCCCCCTTCTTCCTCCCATTCTTCCACCCCTTCTTCCTCCCCTTCTTCGTCCTCTCCTTCTCCTTCTCCCCTTACCCTTTTTCTTTTCTCCTTCCCCCTACTTCTATCTTCCTCCCCTTCTTCCTCCCCTTCTTCCTCCCCTCCTTCCTCCTCTCCTTACCCTTCTCGCCTTACCCTTCTCCCCTTACCCTTTCCCCCTTCCCCCTTCCCCCTTCCCCCTTCCCCCTTCCCCTCCTTTCCTTTTCCCCTTTCCACCTCTCCCTCCCTCTCCGGTGTTTTTATTTGTTCCATATGTAACTTTTGTTCATGCAAATGCTTGTTGCCTATTCTTGCATTCCTTTTTTTTTCTTCTTCCCTATGCTTGCAGTCGTTGCTGCCTAGTGTCCGGGGGCTTAATATTGGATATTGGGACTTCCAAGTTTTGGAAATTGTGGTGTCACATACAACAATTTTTTTTTTTTTAATATAAGGAAACTTCATTTCCGGGAGGTCCACTTACCGAGGTGATATGAGCATCCTCATCAAGTGAGTCCCAGTGTATAAGCCTACATCTATTGGTGGGAGCTGCACCTGGTCTGGAAATCGGGTCCAGCGTCCCTGTGTTATACGTACAATGCGAAATTGTGTGTTTCATCTCTATGTACAAGCCAGGGGACATAGCCCTGTTTGTGCTCTTACTGTGTCCCACAGTTCCACCGCCCTGTTTGTGTCCCACAGTTCCACCACCCTGTTTGTGTCCCACAGGGGTCATATCTCTGACCAGTGCTGTAAGTGTGCGTGTGCCAGTTGGCTCACTTGCTGAAAGTGGAGCGAAGTGAGCAAGTTGTGTCTGGTATGCGTGTCACATGTCTGTGGTATTGAGCGCAGTTTTCTAATATTGTAGGTGTATGCTATGTATGTAAAGGGCACCCTAAAGGGGCCTGGACCAGGCAACACCGCAATTACCGGATGCGGTCAGGTGAGTTTGAACGGCAGCGACGAGTCGTCGCGGCGTACTAAACCTAGCTTTATTGGTGAGTTTTTTTATCTTAGTAGGCACCTCTCAAACGCCCAGCGTGGCAACATTAGCATCCATCCATTGAAATGATTTTAGGGGCGGCTTCTCCCATTTGGCTCTATAATCGTGTTGTGTTTGGAAATTTAAAGCCAGCCGTATTTCATTCATGAAGTTCTCCGATTTAAGCAGAGAAGATTTGGACAAAACTTAGCTAATCAATCCTTTTTTTTTTTTTTTTTTTTTTCCTTCTGATTGGAGACACAAGGAAACCTAAACACAAGGAAAAGAAAGGAAGAAGCACCTGGGAAAAGAAGAAGGCATGCAAGTGGCATTCAGGAGGTCATGGGTTCAATCCTCAATTGGCCTCATGTACCTTCCTGGCCATCCTTGCCCCCCCCCCTTACCTGGAGATAGCCCATTCGTCTCCTCAATTGGCATTGAAAAGAAGTCTCTGCTGATGTTCATAGGGGGAGGGGTAATCAGGAAGGCACAGTGACTGGCCACTCAGATTATGCGCGGTCCCTCTGTTACCAGCTGTTCCCTGGCCGGTATTGCCCACTGGGGGTTCCCTGGGCTGAAAAGGCCACCCGGTGTCAGACTAGACACATGATGATTGAATATGCCTGGGCTGGTCAGTCTGATGATAATACACCCTAAAGCCATCGCCCTTTTACCCAAAAAAGAAAAAGAAAAAAAAGAAAAAAAAAAAGGGGAAAAAAACAAACAAAACGGAATGAGTGCAGAAAAAGTAACAAGAGAGCGCAGCAGAAGTGTGTGTTCAGCGGGTACGCCATTTGACATATTGAAACTGGAGGGAGATGGGGAGGGAGAGAGGAGAGAGAGAAAGAGAGGATTGGGGAGGAGGGGAGAGAATGGGTAGGTTGCTTTTTTTTTTTTTCCCCTTCAAAAGGGCCTTATGGCCGCGGCTCCATACCCCCCTTGTGGGGAGCGTCAGGCCGGTTCCTTTTCCACTGGCAACGGCGGCAAGCCGGAACACACGATACAACACACTCCAACACTTCTCCCCTTTGTGTCAGAGAGGCCCGAGTGGGGGACATTCATTACCTCCAATGTGGAAGGATATACCGCCCCCTCACCCATGCCTACGTTAGCCTATTGCCACTGGCTCCTTGAACCCTGTCCCATCCTCCTGCTTCGCATTTCTGTATCGTCTATAACCGCCATCTCGCTTGCTAATTGTTTTGCTTATTTGTCCAGATCTTGTAATGGCGCAGTCTGTGACCCTCGTGGAAGCGTCCCCTTCGAAATGTGAGAATGGCCACAGTTTTTCTCTTGTGTGAGATATCTGGGGAATCGAATGCTCTGCGAACTTTCGACAGGATGAATGTTGGTATTGCTGAACCGTAATGTGAAAGTCGCAGTGAGTCTGTACTCAATTGCTGGTATTCCCAAATGCATATTGGCTGTATGTTGTGACTTCTGTATTGTGGGACTCGGCAGAATAAAGCGTCGAATGATGCAGAAATGGAGATGCTGAAGGAGGAGTTCCAGATTCGGCTTGGAGCTGCCGAAAGAAAGGTATTTTTACTATTTTTTACTACTTTTTACTATTTTTTACTATTTTTTACTATTTTTTACTATTTTGTTATGATGATGGTGGAGGTTATCGTCTGAGTAGCACGGCGAACGTGTTTGCGCCCCTCCGGGCTCGTGCGAACAGCTCGCGAACGTGTTTGGGTGAACATATATATATATTTTTCCGTAAAAAAAATAAATTAAATTAATTTCTTTTTTTTTCGGTTTTTGATTTTTAACTCACGTTTGGCTGAGAATTCGAACATGACTCCAAGGCAAAAGTTGCTTGTATTGTTGTTTTACATGACATATATTTTTTTTCAGATTTTTCTGAGACTTTTTTTTTTAATACTTTTTTATGTTCGCGTTTGGAGGGTTTTGGGCGCTAGCTCGTGTTCGGGCGGAACATGTTCGGGTTCGCCTCCGAACGCGAACACGGTGCTACGTAGGTTATCGGTTGATATGGTACGGTTGCTTGTTTGTGTCATGCTATCAAGCTTATGTTTTGTTCTTTTTTTTTTCTTTTTCTTTCTTCTCAGATCCGGTGAAAGAAAAAGAAGAAAAAAAAAAGTGAGCTTACAACTTTTACATGATTGGCGCATTGATTGATGGAGGCATTGCTTGGTATGGGACGTTGGTTTGTCTTTTTTTTTTTTTTTTTTTCTTTTTTTTTTTTTTTTTTTTTTTTTTTTTTTTTTTTTTTTTTTCTTTAGAATGCAATTTGTCTAGTTCCATCTGTAATCTGGATTCATGGAAACTATTGTCTAAGTTATCATCATGGAAATTATCGGGCAGCTGAGTTGTGAGTGGCAGACTCAGCATGCACGGTCTCGTATTGTATTGGGGAGAGCTTTACTCTTTCCAAGAATCAGAAACACCACCGTGAGTTTTCTTATGTGGTGTGCTGAGACCCCATTTGGTTTGCGTAGAACTTTGTTTTATTTGAAAATTGGAATTGGCTTTTTTAAGGTTTTTTTTTTTTTTTTTTCTGCGTTACCAACCGTGCCGCGTGCGTCACCTCGGTTGCCCGGGGGCAGGGCAGGGCAGGGCAAGGGCATGGGGCAGGGAAGGTCCCTGTAAGAAACGGAAAAAAAAATCCGAAACAGCCGTAGGAAAAACTGTTTTGTGCAGAAAAATAAACACAACAACTTACAAATAAAAAACAAATTGTATTTTTTTTTAATTCAATTTTGGCCCGGCGGGGTAAGTGGTCCCCGCCCACCCTGGTAACGTAGCTTTCCTTTGGATAAGGCGATTGCCATGTGAGACGCGTTTTGTGACCGGTTCATTGAATGGGTGGATGGTACATTGAATGTGGACACATTTTGTGACCGGTGTATTGGATGGGTGGATTGCGAATTGACACGTGGATGTGTTGTGTGGAGGAGGGCAGGTATATGCACTTACGAAAGAACGAGATATGCTGAAAAAGGAGCACTCGAAAAGCATGGACACGTCGACGCTGTTGAAGGAGAAGGATGAAATCATAAAGCAAGTTATGGCAGAAGGTGAGGTATTTCTGTCCGCACTTGGTCCTTTTTTTCATTCATTCATCCATTCATCTATTTATTTAAGTTATTCGTGTATTCTTTCGGAGGGAACAAGGTGAGATGAGTTCCCTGTGCCTCCGTGTTCTCCATCTTCATGATGCAACTCTTTTGCAATAATGCCCCTGTACAACAGAAGCCAAATAACGTCCATGTCCAAAACAATGTCGATGAAGCTTTGAATAAGGCCCCTTAATATAATTGAACAGCCAATGAAGACAGTTAAGCTTAATACACCGAGGGTGTGTCTGTACCAGCTTCTTCGACGTACACCTGTGTAGAAGCACCCAAAGGAGAACTTGGTGTATAGGGGGAATGGGGGCGTTTTGGGGGTGTTGGGGGGGGTGTATGGGGGAATTGGGGGCCGGTATGGAGGTGTTGGTGGGGTTATTAGGGGTTCTGGACCCAAAAAAAAAAAAAAAAAGAACAGTTGCCAGTGCGGGGTGCCGGCGAACCCCGACCGGTAGGTGCCGACCAGTCAAGGGCTGCCGACCGTCGGGGTATGCAACACTGCCTGAAGTAATAAAGAAAAAAAAAGAAAAGAAAGAAATAAAGAAAGAGGCGTATTGGTATTGTCCCCCATCCAGTCTCCATCCACTCCTCCTTTAGGGTGCCCGATCCCTCCACTGCCACGTCACATTGATAACCTGGCTATGGCAAGTTCTCCTCTCCACCCGAAGAATCTTCTCTCCAGCTTCTTCACAGCACTAAGCTTCTCTAATCTCTCTCTCTCTCTCTCTCTCTCTCTCTCTCTCTCTCTCTCTCTCTCTCTCTCTCTCTCTCTCTCTCTCTCTCTCTCTCT